AAGCATGCCAATGGCAAAGCAAGCATAGCAAGGCAAACATACAAACAGCAGGAAACAAATGGCTGGAAACTGGCAAACAGCTCACACTTAGATCAAACACTTGGCCCTCCAAGCATGAACAAACACGCCTCTGAGTCAACGCCATCTGACTTCTGGCTTCTCTTTGGCTCTTGCACGAGGGCCAGGCAACTTGAGCATGTGATTGCTCGCCATGCCTACGACCCTGCGCATGACTTCGGCTTGGTACGGAAGCGGGCTTGGAGCGGGCTCGGAAACTGAACCCTGGAACTGTCACTGAGTCGAGCCTCAAAAGCTGGTGTTTCTCTGTGTTTGGCTTGGCGCCTTTCAGCTCGCGGAATTGGACTTTCGGGTCGACCTTTCAAAAGCTCTGCTGCTTCTTTCAGTTGCATGTGAACCCTCACGCTGCGGGATCGGCCTCCAAGCAGTCGATTCTTGATGTTTGGGTCATTGCAGCACATTGCAGGCATGCGCTGGCATGTCGAATAGTGCTTCACAATGCTTAAACCTTCTGCCCCCCCCCCCCCCGGCCCAGACTAGCTATGGTAAGCTTAGCCAACGTTTGATCTCACCTCTTAGGAACTCCACACAATCGAATACGTGCTTAAGACATGAAGGCAAGACGAGCTTGAACCCCATTGTTCATGGTGACACACGCAAACACGCCTGTGGCCAAGTCTGATACTATCATATTTATCGGAAACTTCCAAATGGCAATCTAACAAGCGTTAAGAAACGAAAAGCACAAAGCCCAAAGACACGCTCAATCCTCAGGGTTGCCGATGTTTGCAGAGAACATCTCAAATCCACCGCGATATCAACTCGAACCGTGCCAGAAAGCACGGCGCCTGCTTGTCCGTCTCAGTTGCATCAACCTGAGCAGTAAGTGTCAGAACGCAAGCAAAGCAAAGCAGCACATGGCAAGTCTGCAAACGCCACTTACCCATGAACTAGAATGCAGCAAACGTATATACATGGTTTGTCAAACATGGACAAGCGAAACGCGGTAAGCAAAATATGGCAAGAAACAGATGGCAAGAGACACATTATCAAATTATAATCAACACATTGGCCTTTGACGGATGACCATCAGATTCTGTCATCTGCAGTTGCTTACAAATGCTCAGCTGACTGCGATATGCCCGCTGGCTTGTTCAAGCTCTTGCATAAGGTCCCGGGCAATTTGGGCATGCAATGCTCGCCATTCACAGGCGGCTCGTCAAAGCCGGCCGTGTTGCAGTGGGGCTCGGGGGAGGGCCTGATTAACGACGTCACCGCCGTGTTCACACTCTCGTCTGACCGTCTGCCGCTTTTGGCAAATCACCTGCCAAACGCAAACCGTTTTGTGTTGGCCACAACTGTGCGGCAATATGCGAACTCGCTACAGCCAACAAATGTGTCCTGCCAAGCGCCGTGCCATGTTCTCGCTTAAAGCATCCCGCTGTGGCTGCTTTTCCAGCTGAGACACATGAACCTGTGCAGTAAGCGTGGCACTCAGTTCAACTCTTCCCCGAAAACAGATCCACTCTTGGGGGGAAAGCTCCTTTTGGGGCTCGGAAGCTTTGGTGGGGCTCCTTCTGTAAATTTGCAGATTAGATGTCGGGTTCTTGGTTTCGACGCAGGGCCCCTGATCGTGGTGAATCAGCTTGCTCAATCAAAAGGCTGGGTCCAGCCAGAGAGCAATCACGCCATTGTGGAAAACGGGCCCTCAAAGGGCCCATTGTAATTACTCACAAAAAACAGGCAAATGTTAATTAAGTTGCGTTCAACCAACATTTAAAGCAATCCTTTCAGCAAACGAGTCAAGGAGGCCCATTTGGGTCCACTGCACGGCGTGCCCGTCTTGTAGGAATGCCCGGTGGAGGTGTCAGGAAGGAAAACTATCGCGTAGTTCAAGACACATCCATTTTGGGTTATGGTGAATGGCTGCCTCTTCCTCTGATAACAAGGCGAGCTACCCTACAAGGTATCACAGAAAGGGGCAACTCCCATCGGACGATCGCGCCTTGAGCTTCACCCAGACGGCCACTTCAGACGCCAGCATGTGGAGGGTGATGGCCCCGAGACAAAGCTCGTTAGGGAAAATCACGCATTCTCTTGGGGACCAATCCAAATGAACGCTACTGAGTGACGATGGTGACAATTTGCTGCACCTTGCCCAAAGTATGGCAAAAACCTTTCAGATGTGCAAAGGGGATGCCCCCCCCTTTATATATACATATATATGTTATGTACCTTCATTGGTTGCCTTTAAAAACACCCAGAAATGTGCAAAAAGAGCCTCCCTCAATGGATGGACAACGCAATCTCCCCTTCCCCGGGCCTTCCGTGGCCACGGGGAGCCCTGCTGAAACTTTGTCATGAAGTGAGCCGATCGCTGCAATGGCTATTGCGCTTGAGCATGGCTTTGGCGGAAGCAGAAAGTGTGTGGTCTATGCTCAACTGTTCACATAGCAGCCTGTACATGTTCTTCTGAGATCTGCGCTGCATCTGATCCAAACCAAGATCCCTATGACAACGCCAACAAGCAATGGGAACCTAGGTTGAACAAGCCCCGGTTGATTAATAGGCCCGGGGTCCCATTTAGAAGGGAATCCTTGATTTTCGGGGAACAGCCAGGTGTCGACATTAGCTTTGAGACCTCCAAAGTTATTGCCAAAGACTCAGCTTTGTGCTTGCTTTTGTCCAAACATACGATCAGGCTCCCGGATGCACGTGGCAGTTGCCAACAGTGGCTGAAGTGGCATCCGAACCATGGTCGGCCGTGTTGAAGCCACGTGAAGTGAATGGATTCCCATACTCGATGCTATTTTGCACATAAACCTCTATTCTCCTGCACCCTTTGAAGGGCATGATGATCCGGAGGACACACTCGTTTCCCCAATTTCCCCGATATGGCGGAATGCGGTGAACGAGGTCTTTTCGGAGGGCGGTGCATTCCAACTGGAACCCTTTCAGTCATCGGAAAGCATGGCTTCATATCCATTTTGAGGATGTAACCAGTGGCAGCCATGGCCATCTCCAGAGCTCTCCCGGAATGTAGCTGAACTCTGTCAAACGGGGACATTGCCCCTGGCCCTAGCCTCACGTTTTTTTCAAGCGACCTATAGGCATGCAACAGCAGCTCGAAGCGATGTTGAAAGCACTGAATATAAGATTCGCACGTTCAAGGCGTTGCAAAGTCCTGGCGCCAATCATTGTCCGTGCGCCTTTGCCAGATGCAAGTTGTATCAAGTTGTCATGGTTGACCTCCAAATTCTGCAGTGTTGACCGAGCAGTTGACCGGCCAACTAGCACAGAACAAGTCAAGAAAGCCTCATTAACATGACAGATTGCAAAGGCGGTACGAAAACATGTGATGCAACAACATGGGGCATACACTTCATGGTATCTTCTACAGGGTACCTGCACTGACATGCACTAGAATAGAATCAAATATGACTACATCTCCCACTGCATGCGTTCTGGACCTGCAACTGTGTGGGGGTGTGTGGGGGTGTGTGGGGGTGTGTGGGGGTGTGTGGGGTGTGTGTGTGTGGGGGTGTGTGGGGTGTGTGGGGTGTGTGGGTGTGTGGGGGTGTGTGGGGGTGTGTGGGGGTGTGTGGGGTGTGTGGTGTGTGTGGGTGTGTGGGGGTGTGTGGGTGTGTGGGGTGTGTGGGGGTGTGTGGGGTGTGTGTGTGTGGGGGTGTGTGGGGGTGTGTGGGGGTGTGTGGGGGTGTGTGGGGGTGTGTGGGGGTGTGTGGGGGTGTGTGGGGGTGTGTGGGGGTGCACAGTGCCAACGCACAAAAAAAAAGAGAAAAGTAGATTGTCCTTGCTATTCCGAAACATTCCGAAACGATTCCGAAGAGGGGGATCTGCTCTTTCGGAACCATGCTACATTGTGCTGCCATCAGTGCCCCCAACAATGGCTTGTTGTCTCGCCTTCACGCCACGTCGGTGTTGCTCTACTGGTTCTGCCTGCTAACACATATCTTCTAATGCCACAAAATGAAACCTATGCGTTCAATGCATTTCTTGTCTGTGTTTTGGGCATGAGGGGCTCCTTTCAGGTCAGCAGCGTCTCGAGCACATCCGCCGCTTCAGCTGCTTCTGGGCGAGAGTGCGCCTGCAAGTGTCCAATGCAAGCGAAGCGGAGCGAGGCGTCGTAGGCGTCGTGCCTCCTCCGTGCAAATGAAGGCTAGACAGCCCAGCTGTTGAAGGACCTCCAAAGGCCACTGCGCCCTCTTGTCCACCTCGGGCGTCGCAAGGCCAAGGATTGGGCCCAGGTCCCTAGGTGTACGGCTGCCCGGTGCAACTTCTCCAAGCACCCGCCGAAATGGAGCCTTGGAGAGGGCTGGCGTGTGACTTGAAGCTTATCTCAACTCTCTAAGCCCAGCGCTGGAAGCGCAAAGCGCCCGACTTGTCAACCACTGCGGGCGCCTTCCGCGTGATGACCTGCCAAAAGCCGCCCGGCATCCCAACGAGCCTGTTGCAAAGACATGATGAGACAATGAAGCGGCCAACATGACCACCTCCAGGGCAAGCATCCCGACGGCATACATGTCTGAAGCTGCCGAGCAAACACCTGCGAGCTGGTCAGGCCTGACCCACCATTGCGCATGACTTCCAGTATCAAGTCTGTTGAGGGTCTGTGGTATGTGTAGAGGCTCTGTGGCGCCTGCATTTTGACTTGGAATCCATGGATAAGCCCCAGAAAGTGGTGAGGAAAAATCAGTTGACTGCCCAAACACGACTCATGTCCTTAGAATCATGGCTGCCTCACTCGGCCTCACTTCCCATGCGAAACTTGCAACAGGGACCGGCATGCGTGGGATGCGGAGTCCTTGCAAAACGGTTTGTGTGCGGGCAGCTTGAACAAAGCGATCAAGGCACCCTACAGGAAGCGCAGGAAGCCTGTCTGGAGAAAGGCCGGGTCGACATAGCCAGGTGTCCCCGCTCTCGTCGTTACCTCAGTCAGAAAGAGATTTGGGCAGTGGGACGACCAGCTCTGAGGACAGCGCGACAGCAATCGATGCCTCGGGTTCGGCGACAACTGCCAAGCCAAAGTCCGTAACCTCCGGACGGCGAGAAGGATGAACAAAGAAGCAGATCTGACACTCGCCTTGCCCCTGCCATGGCTGTCCACCAGGCAGTTCTGCGACTTCACATCCTCAGCGCATTGCCGCAGATAGTAGCGAAATTGCTGAATCCTTCCAGGGGCCACACGCAGTGAAAGACCTGAACCCACTGGCCCACACTCAGGCCAAATGGTTTTTCTTGAAACCAGCCAAGGCCTTCGGCATCAGGGAGTGCATGTAGCTCAGCCCCCTGACCTGTGGCTTTAACAGGATTTCGGGTGATGCCACAACATTCCCCTGAGGCGCTGTCACAATCAGTGAGGACTTGCAGCCGTTGCTGCCAGGCAAACCTTCCCACGCGAGCCGGCGACAAATGCGGCAAAATATTACTGCCAACTTTGAGTCAACTCTAAACCTGTGCAGTCAGGCCCTGAATCTGGGAACCAGCCGCAAGCCAACCCAGCCTCAAAGTCGACCATCCAACCAGAGAACCAGAGAACCAAAGCAACAAAAGGCCTCGCCCGATTCGCCTTGGCTCCTTCATGGCAGAGTACAAGTTTTCGGCAAACTCCAGAACCATGTAGATGTCGTGCCTTCGACTCAAAGCGCGCTTCACGCGGCACCGCATACCTCTTGCCAGCCTGCTCGTGGTATAGTGCAGCAGCTGCACGATGCCCGGATGGCCCGGAGAGCTCAGCCGGCTGAGGATCTGACAATTTTTGACACCAAAGCGCCATGAACATCATGAACCCCGACCCAGCGATCTGCGCCTCGCCTCCAACTCCTTCTGCGCATCGGAGCTCGTGACCTACAGACGTGGAATGAAAAGCCTGCGCTGTGGCAGGTGCAATGAGTTAGGCACTTTGATCGCCACGTCCGTCTGTGATTTCTTGGTGCGAAACACCCGGCTGCTGGCGCCCTACGGCAAATCAAGTCTAAACAGCAAGGCTCACTATCCCTCTCTGCGTTGAGGTGCCCCGCCTGCCCCACCAATGTGATGCCGCCCACCTGCAGTGTGTTGCTATGTACTCAGGGAGCGCATGTTGCCACCGCTGACAGCTGCTCCCTCGAAGTGATGCGTGCGAATGCGTTTGTGGCACCAAATGCGCTTTGGGACTCTAAGATCTGTAAGACTGTGGGGCCCTAAACCGCCCTAAGTCAGGATCACGATTTCACCCGAAAGAAACGGCTCAATCAACAGTGCATCGGCGCTCAGGTCTGGTGGGTTCAAGGCATGAACACAGCAACGCGCAACTGTGCAAATGCTACCAGCACGTGGATCTAGTCGATCGCTTCCGAATTCAACAGGAAAGTTGGCCTGTGAACTTCCAGCCGCCCACATTCTGCCTGGAACATGTAGTTGATCTCCCTGATGCTGCAGCGGCCTTAGTGCCGTTCCGCACCCCAAGGCCAGCCCGAGGATCCAAGGCAATCGCCCGGCGCTTCCTCTTCAGCCTTAAGAAGTCGCCGACATTGGCCACTGGCGCGTTCCACGAAATTTGGCTCAAGGACACATTAGGATACCATAGAATACCAAGGATCCTGAGGCACAGGCGGTCCACCACCATGCCAGCGGCGCAATGAGCGGCGCAGCCACTGCCCCGCACAGGGAGGCCTTGACGCCGTGACACGCCGTGATACGCAGTGCCAATGCCCAGCTTTACTCGATGTCTGAGAGCTGGGCGATGGTGCCTGGCGTCCAGGCAGTCGCGGCCTTAGCCAAAGCAATTGATGATACTGATGTTTGACTTGCTGCCTTGATCTGTCTCGGCGACTGCGCTCGGTCCCGGAACTGAATGGGATTGCCTGCATAATTTTGATACGGCCCAATGGACTGGACGCCATCCCTGACTGCAGAGCCGGAAATATCGGAGATCAGGCAAATAAGACACACTGAGGTGCACATACAAAATGCATTCAACTTACATGTCGCAGCTGACAAATGGTACCTCCCATGTCCGCTTCAACCTGAACGAACTGCAGCAATCCAACTGGGGGCAACCCATTGCACTTGGGAAGAATACGTGCAGGACTCGGCTTCTTTGAATAGGTTTCTCTAAAGGGAAGCATATCTGAGGATGCCGCGCTTGCTCCAAGGGCGGCCAGAGATGGAGCACCTCTCCAGAAACGAAACGCCAAAACACACCGAAACACCCAATCCAAAGCTATGCAATCGATTCACAGCGGAATCTAGGCGCCTGCGGAGAAGCCAGCGAACGACAGAATAACCTCCATGGCCAGCCTGAGATGCCCCTTCTCCGAACCGTCCACGTCTCCCCAACAAATGCATGCGAACTGCGCTAGGCCGCTAGGCCCACTGCAGGATGCAATCAAGGATTTGGAGGCACTGGAGGATGAGCCGAGAGCACTCACGCAGTGCAATTCACAAGGAGTGAACATCACTGACTGCAGCTGCGCGAGCCAACGCAGTTCCTCAAATTCGGGGCAGTTCACTCGAGCTGACAAGGCATGACCGCTCAAAGTGCTTTCGATGTGCACAGTCATTAGAATTCAGTGAGACTCGGCGCCTAGATTCGGCTAGCTAGCACGTCTGCCGACGTGCATCAAATAATTGCAAGGCTTACTGTCTACGTGTCCGGCATCGTGTCATCTTCAAAACTGTGCAACTGTTCAAAGATCACAGGCGTTCAAAACCCCAAATGCTACATCCCACGAAAGAAAAGGCACCTGCTATGCGATGTAGTTGGCCCACATGATCATGAGTAAATGCTCTCATCTAGGTCGTTTGCAGCGTGTGCGTAATTACGCTTGTGTTTGTCATGTGTTTGTCTGTTTGTGTGTGTGCGCGCATGCGCGCGTGCTTGCGTGCGGTCGTGCGTGCGTGCTTGCGTGCGTGCGTGTGTGTGTGTGTGTTGTGTGCTTGTGCTTGTGTTTGTGCTTGTGTGTGTGTTTGTGTTTGTGATTGTGCTTGTGCTTGTGTTTGTGTTTGTGCTTGTGGTGAGTTTGTGTGTTTGTGTATTTTTGTGTTTGTGCGTGTGCGTGTGTGTTTGTGCTTCTGTGCTTGTGTGCTTGCATGTTTGCGTGTTTGTGTGTTTGTGTGTTTGTGTGTGTTTGTGTGTTTGTGCGTTTGTGTGCTTGTGTGTTTGTATGTGTTTGTGTGTTTGTGTGTGTGGTTGTTTGTGTTTGCGTGTTTGTGTGTTTGTGTGGTTGTGTGTTTGTGTGCTTGTGTGTTCGTGCGTGTGTTCCTGTGTTCGTGTGTTTGTGTGTTTGTGTGTTTGTGTTTGTGTGTTCGTGTGTTTGTGTGTTTGTGTGTTTGTGTTTGTGTGTTTGTGTGTTTTTGCGTTTCTGTGTTTGTGTGCTTGTGCATTTGTGTGTGTGTGTGTTCGTGTGTTCGTGTGTTCGTGTGTTTGTGTGCTTTTGTGTGTGTGTGTGTTCGTGTGTTCGTGTGTTTGTGTGCTTGTGTGTTTGTGTGCTTGTGTGTTTGTGTGTGAGTTTGTGTGCTTGTGTGTGTGTGTGTTTGTTTGTGTGTTCGTGTGTGCGTGTGTTCGTGTGTTCGTGTGTGCGTGTTCGTGTGTTCGTGTGTTTGTGTGTTTGTGTGTTTGTGTGTGTTCGTGTGTTCGTGTGTTTGTGTGTTTGTGTGTTTGTGTGTTTGTGTGTTTGTGTGTTGTGTGCTTGTGTGTTTGTGTGTGTGTTCGTGTGTTTGTGTTCGTGTGTTTGTGTGTTTGTGTGTGTGTGGGTGTGTTCGTGTGTTCGTGTGCTTGTGCGTTTGTGTGTTTGTGTGTTTGTGTGCTTGTGTGTTTGTGTGTTGGTGTGTTGGTGTGTTCGTGTGTTTGTGTGGTTGTGTGCTTGCGTGTTTGTGTGTGTGTGTTCGTGTGTTCGTGTGTTTGTGTGCTTGTGTGCTTGTGTGTTTGTGTGTGTGTGTGTTCGTGTGTTCGTGTGTTCGTGTGTTCGTGTGTTCGTGTGTTTGTGTGTTTGTGTGTTTGTATGTTTGTGTGTTTGTGTGTGTTTGTGTGTTCTCGTGTTCGTGTGTTTGTGTGTTTGTGTGTTTGTGTGCTTGTGCATTTGTGTGTTTGTGTGTGTGTGTGTTCGTGTGTTCGTGTGTTCGCGTGTTCGTGTGTTTGTGTGTTTGTGTGTTTGTGTGTGTGTTTGTATGTGTTTGTGTGTTCGTGTGTTCGTGTGTTTGTGTGTTTGTGTGTGTGTGTTCATGTGTTTGTGTGTTCGTGTGTTTGTGTGCTTGTGAGTTTGTGTGTTCGTGTGTTCGTGTGTTCGTGTGTTTGTGTGTTTGTGTGCTTGTGTGTTTGTGTAATCGTGTGCTTGTGTGTTTGTGTGTTTGTGTGTTTGTGTGTGCTTGTGTGTTCGTGTGTTCGTGTGTCGTGTGTTTGTGTGTTTGTGTGTTTGTGTGTTTGTGTGTGTGGGTGTGTTCGTGTGTTCGTGTGTTTGTGCGTTTGTGTGTTTGTGTGTTTGTGTGCGTGTGTGTTCGTGTGTACGTGTGTTTGTGTGTTCGTGAGTTTGTGTGTTTGTGTGTGTGTGTTCGTGTGTTCGTGTGTTTGTGTGTTCGCGTGTTCGCGTTTTCGTTTGTTTGTGTGTTTGTGTGTTTGTGTGTTTGTGTGTGTGTTCGTGTGTTCGTGTGTTCGTGTGTTCGTGTGTTCGTGTGTTCGTGTGTTCGTGTGCTTGTGTGTTTGTGTTTGTGTGTGTGTGTGTGTTCATGTGTTCGTGTGTTTGTGTGCTTGTGTGTTTGTGTGTTTGTGTGCTTGGGTCTGTGTGTGTGCGTGTTCGTGTGCTCGTGTGTTCGTGTGTCCGTGTGCTTGTGTGTTTGTGTGTTTGTGTGTGTGTTCATGTGTTCGTGTGTTTGTGTGCTTGTGTGTTTGTGTCTTTGTGTGCTTGTGTCTTTTTGTGTGTGTGTGTGTGTTCGTGTGCTTGTGTGTTCGTGTGTTTGTGTGCTTGTGTGCTTGTGTGTGCGCTCGTGTGTGTGTGTGTGTGCTCGTGTGTTTGTGTGTTTGTGTGCTTGTGTGTTTGTGTGTTTGTGTGTGTGTTCGCTTGTTCGTGTGTTTGTGTGTTTGTGTGTTTGTGCGTGTGTTCGTGTGTTCGTGTGTTTGTGTGTTTGTGTGCTTGTGTGTTTGTGTGTGTGTGTGTTCGTGTGCTTGTGTGTTTGTGCGTTGGTGTGTTTGTGT